CTGCGGTATCCTGTCTGCTGGACAAAACCACAAACCCCAAAACCCAACATCCTTCACCCCTTCATCCCCTCTGGTGCGGCAGCAGGCGGATGAGAGGCGGTCGCAGAAACGGTGCACAAAGCGAGGCCGCTCCTAGCATCACCCGGCACGAACGAAGCTTAGCGTCCCCCTTCATGCCCCAAAACACAGTAGACTCCCCTGGCCGAGGCTGAGATTTACAGCACATCATAAATCAGGTCCCTGCAGTAGTCCCAGGGTCGAATTCTCTGCCTACCACGAACCATCAACTAAGAATGCACCACCACCCATAGAATCAAGAAAGAGCTATCAACCCTGTCAATCTGGACCGAGTAAGCTTCCTGATAAGCTTCCTGATAAGCTCCCTGATAAGCTTCCTGACAAGCTTCCCCGTGTTGAGCCAAATTAAGCCCTCCACTCCTGGTGGTGCCCTTCCGTCAATTCCTTTAAATTTCAGCCTTGCGACCATACTCTCGCGGAACCCAAAGACTTTGAATTCTCATAAGGTCTGAACGAGTCGTACAGGCATAGGGAACGACTTCCAATCTCTAGTTGGAACAGTTCATTGCTTAGAATAGGACCATGTCTGATCTAAGACTTTAAGAATTCACCTCTGACGGGCAGATACCAACTCTAGGAAACCAGCAAAAAAAAAAACCTTCAAGAACTGTGAAACGGACGTTTTCCAAATGAAAGGTCCCGTTTTTGAGAAGGGGAGGGGGAGGTACTTTGTTAAGAGTCAGATACTCTCGCGGATGGTCAGCACAAGGGTGGCTGGGCATTTGCAGCATTTCAGGATATTGCACCTGCACTGTTTGAAGATTCATGGTACTTATTCACCAAGTATGACTGTACTTGTAAGGGTACTCATAGCCATATTAGGGCACTTATGGGGCTACAGCAGTGTCATCAGCAAGAGACATCAATGCAAGAGCGATGCTCATATCGGAAGCGCGTCTCGTCTATCCTCGGCAACTGCACATCTGCACAATCCCAATCAGTCCTCGGTCGGAGTATTGGCAAGCCAGCCCGGCAGCCGACTTCCTCCACCTCCACACAACGAAGGTGCACGGGATGTTGCAACTCGAAACATCGAATAGGCACTGCTTGCTGAGCCATTCTGGAAGAGGAACCCTAGTCTTGCGAACCCATTCGCAAAGAAGAAGCCATTAATAACATTGGCAAAAAACAGAAAGAAACTCTCGGCGCTGCTAGCACTTGATAATAAGCTCTCAAAAGGGCGGGTGGGCTGTTGGGTGAACTTGCGCTTGAAGACTCGCCGTGCACACAAAGAATGAGTCATTCTTAGCGTTCGATTCGAGGCAACTGCTTCTGGGCCCACTAAGCTGGGCCCCCCTAGACCCTAAACCCTAAGCCCTAAGCCCTAAACCCTTAACCCTAAACCCTACACCCTAAACCCTAAAACCTAACCCACCGAGCTGGGCTCACGGCTAGCCCCATCGAAGTTCTTGCCGCTCATGGTATTGGAGCCCGCCGTCCTCAGTCGATGAACGAATTTTCGGTTGATATACCATGTTGTGGCTGTGCTGATTGGCCTGCTCTTGGGACGTCCTATCAATGCTCCACACATCCAAGCGGCTGAGAAGCAGAAGATGGGGCTGCAAACAGGGGCTTTAACTTGCACAAGAACTTGTTTAGGGTTTAGGGTTTAGGGTTTCGCCACCCGCACTGCGCGCACGCAAGGGTTTAGGGTTTAGGGTTTAGGGTTTAGGGTTTAGGGTTTAGGGTTTAGGGTTTAGGGTTTAGGGTTTAGGGTTTAGGGTTTAGGGTTTAGGGTTTAGGGTTGTTTTTTAGGGTTTAGGGTTTAGGTTGCTTTTTTAAGGGTGTAGGGTTTAGGGTTTAGGGTTTAGGGTGCATGTCCGAAAGCCGACAGTGTCAATGGCACCCATGTTCTCCAGGCCAGGACTCCAATCGGCGGCAGCCACCACGTCTATCATCAAGCCTGGGCTCCAACAGCAGCGTACAGGAAGTTGCAGGCACTGTTTGCGCATTCCATGTCATCACAGTAGCAGCGGCAAGAGAGTCACGCCAACAGGACATGTGCTTCAAAAAAAGCTCCTTGTAGCACAGGTAGTAGAAAGCCGCGGAGGGCGCGCAAAAAGGCAGTAGTGTCTGGATGTTGAGATATGTACATGTGTGCCTTCTCGAATCATGATGCCGTGGGCGGCAACATGCACACAAACCAATTTATCGGAGTGCAGATTGAGCATGGAGCATCTCCTGATTCGGACAACCAGACCACTGTGCCAAAAATGCGCTACTACGCTCCGCTCGACGAAGGTGTGGACGGAAGGGTGAGACCCTAAACCCTAAACCGTAAACCCATGGTGTCTATCCTCCTTGTCATGGGCAGAATGGACGCATCACGAGCCCTGTTTTGCATCCAGGCCTCTTCGAACACTGCCGGGTTTAGGGTTTAGGGTTTAGGTCTTTTTTAAGGGGTTTTTGGGCATCCGGCTAGCCACTGCACTGCGGGGTCTCATGGTTGGTCTCGGAAAAATAAAATAAAATGAGATTCACCCGAGGTTCAGGTATGACCTAACCGGGATATCGCCCTAAGGCATTCAGATGAGGAAATTCCGAATTAGGGTTTAGGGTTTAGCGATAGCTGAGGCTCAGACCCTAAAACCTTAAGTGCCCTGGTACGCATATTAAACCTGGCAGCGATCTCCTAGACTCCGCACTTCCGCCAGGTCGACGCGCCCGGAGCTGTCAACATCCTCAGCAGGAGCGAAACTATTGCGATCTTCTTTGCTGGTTCATAAGGACAGATATATGTTTACCAGCGCGGTGTACTTTAGTATGTGTCTGCTCCTTATTTTCATGAGAGTATGTACTTGTATTCATTGCTAAGTACCAGGATATCTATGATATCAGTACGATTCGCACCTCCCTAGGGACAAGCGGAGGATACAAATCGAACTTCACCGGCTCTGAGTATCACGCACCAAGGTCCCAAGAACAACGAAGCGCCAAGCAAAACCACCAACCACGATACTGCAGGAAGACCGTGCGCTTGCCTAGTTCAAGCAATGCAGCAGGACAGTGCGTCATGTCGAAAAGTAGAGGAACGGGAGTCGAGACGGTTTAAGGCTGTAGAGATCTTGGGTTGCCGATGAGCCTGGGCTACACCAGGGGAGCCTGCTTTTCGAAAAAAAAAGCTCGCGTGCTTCATTACGTACCATGGAACTTTCACCTTTAGGCCCTCTAAGGCGTAAGCTTCTCCAACGTAGAAGTAGCGTGTTCAGCTGATGTGGCCTGTCTCATAGCATCATCGGTTCTCTTGTACAGTAAGCTGAATTCACACATCCAAGCTCAAAGAAGCCGGACATGCTCAGGTATTCGTTCATCACACGCGCTCACATGCTCTTGCGCGACCACCTTGTCTCTCACTGCTATCTGCTGGAAGTAAGAGCAGTCACTACGCGTCCATGCACATTACTATTTCCTTCTCGGGGACCACGCTGGACTCGTAGATTAGCGCGATCTCTGATGTTACAAGGGCTCTGTGTCTTCCAAGCACGTCCTCTCATTCAGTCAAGCTTCAATTCTGTCCCAAGCACGCAGCAGCTTGTGCATGTCTTCTTTCGTGCCTGAGCTACACATCTTGTGGCGCCTTCCCGGCGCTCATCGACAAACCCTGGATGCGCTCTGCCGCGAGAGGTGGATTGCACTGAGCCAGGAGCCGCAGCTTTCGAAAAACCTGCGCGAAGAAACCCGAAATCAACGGCTGCCAGCCAGCATGATGCACACATGATGATAGCGCGGCGCATGTTCTACTGGCATGTTCACTAGCATGGAAGATGCAGGGATCGCTCGTACTGTCCACATAGAATACTGTAGCATGGCTCGTGCCAATGGGATTCTATTGGTGTGTAGATTCAAAGAATTTCATGGACGACGTCCAGATGCTTTCCGAAATTTTCCGATTGACACAATGGGCACATGAAGCATTACGCTGATACCAGGCAGGTTGCACATTCTCGCGCTCTCTCTTGTTGCGGCAGTTCCTGAGCTGGGTCTGGAGATGTTAACCCTTCACGGCACTCAACAATACGACATAGAGCGTAGCTTGCCATGCTCGCAGGTGAGTCGTCAACCATAGGAGGAGATTCGATGATGTTCCGGCATCCGCTTTCTTGCTACCGGGCGAAACATGTCAAACTGCTATCTCCGGCTTCTCAGGCAGGGCTCTCATTGCCAACTGCACCGAGAACAAACCTCAGCACGATTGACACAAGCCTTTGCTAAGTCTCGTTCAGTACGTAACTTTCGCACTTCAGCACTTGTCCCATGATGTTAAGGGACCTGGGCTCCACTTGGAGGTTCATGGTACTTACTAACCAATTATAACTGTAATTATAACTGTACTTACAACCATATTATGGCACTTAAGGGGCTTAGAAGCGGGTTATAAGTACAGAAATAATTGGTTAAGAAGTACCATGAACCTCCAAGCACAGGAAGACTGCTACACTGCCGGTGGTGCATCTTTTTTCCCCTGGTCGCCATCCCCGCGCTGCTCACACTGGCGGCCTAAGAAGCTGCGGCCCAAGTCCATCTTCGCTGGATCCTAAACCCCAAACCCTAAACCCTAAACCCTAAACCCTAAACCCTAAACCCTAAACCCTAAACCCTACCGTGGAGAAAGGAGCATCCCAAGGCCATTAACAGCCCGAGCTGCAGCTGCACAGAAACTTTGCGCGCTGGCCTCTCCCAGCATGGTACATCTAATCCAAGAATCTAAACTATAGCGAACTTGGAACCCTAGCAAAAATTAAATTGTTTGCTGTTTCTTAGGAATCATAACAACCAAAATTAAAATCATTTCCAAGTACCCCTAAGTAAAGGCTTGTCACGTCATTGCACATCCCATGGTCCAACTGAGTGGTGTTCCTCTATTGACCTGTAAACTTGTACAATCATACCCCACTGATCCACATAAATGACATGTTTGAACTCTACGAGTTCGGCACTACCCCTGCTCTCACGTTGGCTGACGTCTTGGTCAGAGAGCAGGCCCCAGGCACCATGGGGGCCTGAACTGAATGCGCCTGATGCAGAAACCTGAGCTCCGGCACTTTATTATAGTTAGCAGCCTTGCGGATCAAATTTCCAGACAGCACAAGGACCCTCAACCGACTGAGATGCTGCAAGGGAAGGGTCAAGGGATCGAAGCAGGTGCTGCGCACCAGACCCTGACATAAACCTCCCTGGACCCCCCTAAACCCCCTTAAACCCCCCCTAAACCCCCCCTAAACCCTCCTAAACCCCCCCCAAACCCCCCTAAACCCCCCAACAGTAAACCCGCTCTGACTTGTGCGTAGTGTATCAGCCTGCTACTGAGCCTTCGAGTCACTGGCCGCCCATCACCACTGCCTGCGGCTGCAGCTGATAGCCTTCCAAGTTTCGGAGCAACAAAATGCCGCAAAATAGGGTTTAGGGTTGAGGCTTTAGGGGTTAGGGGTTAGGGGTTGGGGGTTTAGGGTAGATGAAGGACAGGCTACAGAAGAGAGTCGAACGACTCTACACAATTTGTCAAATGCGTCGCAATGCAGGGCGTCACATTTACGATCGAGACTTACCACATTGAAGTTTTGAATGTCACAAGTGAGATCGGCCATCAAACTGTCATTGCGAAATGGTGCTTCAAGTTGTATGCTGAGGAGTACTGCTTTCACTCACTGTTACAGGTCAACATATTCTTGCGAAACTTATCTACTCATCCCGGCCAAACAAGAAAAATTGGATTTAAAAAAGCAACAACGCGCGAGCCATCCTGTTGCCTCCAAGTACTCCGCAGGATTGGAAACTGAAGGATTCTGTGGGGGTGGGCACTCCAAGGACAGGAGACCGGGCAAGGAGTATAGGCGAGGAAAGCGAGGGAGCAGAATGATTAACTGAAAACCGAACAACCCGGCACCGAGGGCGGGGACGAAGAAAGCACAACAGTACAAAACACGATGGCTTGGTCAACTCAGTCCTTGTGAGTCAACAAATGTCAACATTGCATCACTGAGCTGCTGACACGTCGGTGCAGGAGTGTTGGGGTGACGGATGCAATCTGCCATCGAATGTATGATAACTAAGAAAACGATGAAAAATGGCGACCTGAAGTGCAAGATCAGCAGCGGACAATGACTGGTGAGCCAGCCCGCACGGGCGCAGTGACCGCTCCATGGGGTGATGGGGAGCGAACAGCGCAGCTGGCTGCCGGCCGCCTGTGGTGGAGAAACTTGCCGTGCTTGGAGGTTCATGGTAATTATTAAACAAGCATAACTGTAATATATAACCCACTTCTAAGCCCCTTAAGTGCCCTTTTTGACCCCGCGAGCTCTGCCGTTAAATGCCCTAATATGGGTATAAGTACAGTTATAAGTACAGCTATGATTGAGTACCGTGAACCTCCAAGTAGCAGGCGTGCCAAGTGCGCCCTCTCTCACGCCCATTGATGCGCCAGGTGCCAGATTCTGTGAACTTGATCCACAGTGAATGCATGAAGAGGGAACCGACATGAATTCCATCTGAAATGCAGAGGAGCCGCACACAATACTGCGTGTTGTTTGGCATCGCCTCTTGAACAAACCGTCAACTATGCTGCTCTTGCACACTTCATCGCACTTCCAAAGAATTTGCATCGTGTCTCTTCACTACTTATGCTGGAACCACTTGCATCCCTTGATACTTGCAGCCCCAGCACAGGCACAGCGCACGGCGAGCGACCGCGGGTGGTGCCGCCGACATCTGGCACCCGCGCGCCTGCTAAACAAACGTTCGTAGCGGTATGATCTCATGACATAGCGTCGCTCTGCAGAATCCACGCCCCTTGTCGGGCATGGGCTGGCATGAGGCCAGCGCCATTACGAAAGAAGACATCACACTATGCACTTGCGGCCAGATAAGCCCAGGATGACAAAGCACGAAACCCGAATTTGGGATCTTGCAAATGTAGGAAGGACTACGTGGACTACTTACTTCTCTCCTCCTGCAACCCCGACTCTCGCAAGCCGTAGACAAGCAACACATACACACTGCCGAGCAGCCTGCAGGTGGTATGGCGGCTGCATATCTTGGCGTGAATAGGACGCCCTCACCACTGGCCTAGACGCCACAGAAATCACACCAAACAACAACTTGCATCCATCATACACACAGAAACATGTGACAATGCGGCAATGGCAGCTCTGAGCTTCCGGAGCAGCTACAAAATGCCACACGCACAGCACTTCCCCGTGACAGGGCGACGTGGAAACGGAAGCTTGCATCATAGAGGCCGAAATGTTGCACGGGGATGTCGCCACCTTGCGATGGAAATCGTATGCAATGCATGTAGAAACGCAGATGGTATGTAAACGCAAACCCTACATCGAATCCAGGCCGCACTGGCTGCGTGCACAGCATATGATACTTGCACAGCGCTTGGCTCATCACAGCTTTCGGTTGCCATAGCGAAAAAATGCTCTGTGTGTGTGGGTGTGCAAAAAGCTGGCCGGACCTTAGCCATTCGCGCAGGATAGCAGGGAGACGGCGTTCGCCCAGGGGCACGACCCCTGCCAACCACCGCTGGCGCGCTGCCCCTGGTCACCTGGGATGCGAAGGCCCGTTGCCCGAAGAGACCACGGCCACAGCCGTCCAGCACTCCATCAATCTGAGAACCACACACAGCATACTGAGCTTCAAACAAGGCGCTGGTAGGGCATAGCTAGAGCTCTGAGCCAATGGCGGTGACGTGCCTCTCGGAGTGATGTTCGCCTGTGTGTAGCATGGCACAGGAGACGGCGACCTCACCGTGTAGGTAATTTGCCGGGGAGGGCTTTGGCTACACGGATGTGGTGCTCGTGGTGCCTGGTGCGCCAGCACTATCCGAGGCGAAGGTACCGGGGAGCGGCCTCGCTGCTCCACCATTTGCTCGACAGACTTCACATGAGGACCAGGCGGATATGCCGCAGACCCACTGCGGACGCCAAGGATGTGACCTAGGGCCGGGGGTGGGGCGGGGCAAAGCATCGACCCACTCCACGCAGATCCTGGAGTCGGACAAAGCATCGAGCCTGGACCGCTTGGCGGCGCAGTCGGCGGCGCATTCGGCGGTGCATTCAACGGTGCGTTCAACGGTGCATTCAGCGGTGCATAGGGCAGTCCGCGAGGCCCTGCTGGCGCACACGTACGGACGCTGGGCATTCGGGGCTCGAAGCTTGAATGCCGCCCTCTGCCCCGGCAGACTGAATCCGAGCTCGTCGTGCCTGGAGCTGATCGTCGGGGACTGACATAGGTCCATCTCTGTGGCGGCACTGGGGACGGAAGCCGTGGTGAGGCTGCCGAAGGATGCGGCCATTGGCGAGGCGGTGGTGAATACGCCATCTGCCTGCGTGGCTGCTGGAGGGCAACTTGCTCTGGGAGATAGCCTCCAGCACTGAAAACGCAAGCAACTGTGCAACTATGTGCAACTTGTATAGAGTCAGAGCTGAAGCACCACTTTGTGCATTGTGCAGGCAAGAGGCTGCCGAGGAGACCTGGAGCCTGTCCGACCCATGGGGTGAAGATCGGAGCACCTGTCGCCTGCGCAACCCGAGGCGGGGAGTAGGAGATGCGCCCCGGATGCGGCACACTCGGATGCGGCCCCAGGCTGTAGGTGTGCCTGCCAGTGTGGGTGAAACATGAAACGCCGTCGAATCGCACTTGTCACGACGTGGCATGCGAATGACATAACCAGCATCCTGCCAGCATTACAAAACAAAGTTTCCCTCTCACACTTGCCTCTGACACCTCATGGCTGCTTGTGTGTCAGCGGCGCTCCCCCCAGAGGCCTGCAAGGAAGTCTGGGAGAGATGGGAAAGTGTTCCACGAACTACATCCAAGTCTCCATGTGCCCCCAGCTATTGTTGCAAGGTGGCCCGCGGCGCAGGCAAGGGTGGCGGTGGGGGCAGCCGTGGCACCGCAATCGGTTCCAAGAGCACCTACGGAGCTTGCGTGGCTGAGCTGGGTTAATGCAAAGGGAAAACACAAGCCGGGGGTCAAACCATCACAGCACGCATGACTTTGCCAAACCTCTGCACCTATCCAACTGGAACTTCAACTCATAGGTTAGATTGGCCCCCTCGCAAGGCCTGGGACGGCGGGGGACTTCTGCTATGCTCCGGAGACGATCCCCTCGCAGGGGTGAAGCTCTCCGAAGCCAAAGCAGCCTGCGTTTGACATCGTAACGTAATTAAGTAGAAGGCTGCTTTTGGGGGTGTTTGGGGATGTTGCTTAGAGGGTCTGGGTCGCCATGCGGAGCGTTTCATCGGGGGCGAGGGAGGTCCTCCCTCCAGAATCACGGCGCTACATGGGGCTACCCAGCGTCTAACTCCATCTCATCCACGTCCGTCCAGCTAGGGCAGCTTCAAGAGACTCGTTTCGTCTGTTAGATCCGGCCCCAGGTCGCCCAGTAGCTTGGGGACAGCATCTTCCTCGTCCCTGTCCGTCTCGTCGTCGTTGCGCTGCTCTTCTCTTCTATTCTGATACTTACTCATCTGTTCCGTCGTCATGGTCTCTCTCCTTCTCCCTCAATGTAAGGAAGGACAACAACACGCCAGAACCGCATGAAAAAAAAAAACGCAGCCTGAAGACCCGCCCACACCGCCTTCGAAAAGAAACAAACTACGCTTGTGGAGCCTCACTTGGCGAGGCTGCGCCCATCGAAGGTGGAGATGGGGAGTCCTTCAAAGGAGTTCATTTGCGGCACTGAACTGACTGCTCACCGCGGGTTTTACGGGGAGCGGCATGTCATTTCAACTCCTCCCCCTGAAGCCAACTAAGGTCACGCAGGTCACGACGACGACATACGACGACCTTGTTACGGAGCTAGAACCATAGACATTCTGAAGATTTCTGCAGTACACCTGTTGGACGTCATGAAACTGCGGCTGAATGGGTGCGTGTACCACAAATGTTGTTCAATGCCCTTGCCCTATTGGTTGCAAACCTCTCGGCTTGGCTGCTGCCATTTCCCCCTAGCCAGCACTGCGACCACTGGATCGCTACCCCAAACCCTAAACCCTAAACCCTAAAGAAGCATGATCTCAGCAACCGGGAATTATCGACTCCACGCCAACTGCTTCTACTCTCTCTGCTCCGCCTTGGTTTTGCTGATGTTTGGCGCTACGCCCCTCTAAACATTTTTGAGGGGGTTGTAGTCATTGTGGTGTTTCAGTAGCTGCTGCAGACACCCGTACGTTCAGAAACGATCTGCGGCGCAGGAGCTCACGCAAACGTTCCCAGATGAATCAAGGCTTGATGCCATGGACGTTTGGCATCGCCCATGTGACGCTTGCAAAGATCCAACATCCGAGAATTTCTTCCCAGGCAAGTATACCGAGATTTGTCTCCTGAGGGTCAGCTGGAGGATGCTGCTCTTCCGGGAGGGATGGAAGAGACTCCTGCAAGATAGAGTCGGTACAGCGAGGCCCGAGGTGCTTCTTACACTGTAGTTGCCTCAACCCCAAACGCTACTCACAGATCTCCCCCAAGCCTGCTTTCCTTCGCTCCAGGTCCCACACAGGTCCCTCTCCCAGAAATCTTGGGGCCCCCCGAATACCTACGCATGCATACCATGGTCCTTCTTGTAGAGGGTAACAGTTTGACTAGGTACAAGCTTCAACTTGCTGTGCAACAGGAGCCCTGCACTACGTGGGTCACTTAAATCATGATCCCCAGCTGGGTCTTCGTTACAGTGGGTTCGTTGAAGGAAACTACAAAGCACGGCTCCTGCTCTGGCTGCCCTGGCTGCGGAGAAGGGGAGGCTGCTTCGGAGGAGGATGTCCGCGGGGAGGGCACCGGCTCCTCTACTTTCATCCAACGAATCACAGGGCAGGGTTGAGGGATGGGGGTGGTCCGCGGATAGCTTCCGGCTCGAGCTTAAGATGCTCTGAAACGGACAACTTTGGGAACCACACGGCAGCACCTCTGTGCGTGTTTGAAGGTGCGGATAGGGCGTCGCGCGTGCGCTGCCTCGTACTCGTGCAATGCTTTCTTGGGCGAGAGAGGAGATACACTTGCCCATCTACCCCTTTCCCTTGAACCCCGTGCAACTCCAAGGCCACTCGGTCTCAATTATACTTGACATCAAAGAAACATAACAGCCATGCGCCGTGAATTACATGTCAGAATGCTCCCTCCCCCTCTATAGCAATCCACCGCTCAGAAGCTCAGAAACGAGGGGTCGGATCAGAGCGGGTAAGGGGTCATTTTGGAACACAGAAGGGAGTCATTTTGGAACACAGCAGGGAGTCATTTCGGAACACGAGAAAGGGTCATTTTGGAACACAAAGAGCAGAAAATAGGTCAGCGCCTAACAAAAAATGCACGCGTGCGATCACGGCAGAGGGTTCGGCGAACGAAGTTACGAATGCGCATAACACACTGTAAAACGCATGTCGACACCCACGATCCCCGCAGAGGGTGCACGAACGCATTTGCAAATGAGCAAAAACACACTGTAAAACGCATGTCGACACCCACGATCCCTGCAGAGGGTGCACGAACGCATTTGCAAATGCGCAAAAACACACTGTAAAACGCATGTCGACACCCACGATCCCCGCAAAGGGTGCACGAACGCATTTGCAAATGAGCAAAAACACACTGTAAAACGCATCTCGACACCCACGATCCCCGCAAAGGGTGCACGAACGCATTTGCAAATGCGCAAAAACACACTGTAAAACGCATCTCGACACCCACGATCCCCGCAGAGGGTGCACGAACGCATTTGCAAATGCGCAAAAACACACTGTAAAACGCATGTCGACACCCACGATCCCCGCAGAGGGTGCACGAACGCATTTGCAAATGCGCAAAAACACACTGTAAAACGCATGTCGACACCCACGATCCCCGCAGAGGGTGCACGAACGCATTTGCAAATGCGTACAAACACACTGTAAAAAGCATCTCGAGACCCACGATCCCCGCAGAGGGTGCACAAACGCATTTGTTAATGCGCAAAAAAACACACTGTAAAAAGCATCTCGAGACCCACGATCCCCGCACAGGGTGCACGAACGCATTTGCAAACGCGCAAAAACACACTGTAAACAGCATCTCGACACCCGCGATCCCCGCAGAGGCTGCACGAACGCATTTGCAGATGCGCAAAAACGTACTGTAAAAAGCACGGACGAAGTTGCGAATGCGCAAAAATGCATTGTAAAATGCATCTCGACACCCACGATCCCCGCAGAGGGTGCGCAAACGCATTTGCAGATGCGCAAACACGCACTGAAAAAAGCACGGACGGAGTTGCGAATGCGCAAAAATGCACTGTGAAAAGCATCTCGACACAGACGATGCCCGCAGAGGGCGCACGCACGCAGTTGCAAAAGCGCAAAAAAAACACACGCTAAACAGCACGTCGACACGCGTCATTGTTTTGTCTTCTTCAACGCGGTTTGGGGGAGTTTCGTCTTCGTCGACCAGGTGAGACAAAGTTCATCTTACTCTAATTGTCCGCACGCTAACCAGCGCTTGAAAATAAACTACAAGAAGCAGGTTTCGGGTTCTTAAGGTTAAAGATTATAGGGCGAATGAATGGAACCCTTCGTCCAAACCCTAAACCACCCAAACCCCAAAACCCTAAAAGGGTTTAGGGTTTTGGGGCATGGGGTAGCGAAGCCTAGCGGGTATGTTGAGGGCTTCAGAGCATAAAAGTTCGCGGAGTTAGGGTTTTGGGGCATGGGGCTGAAGTCTGCCGGGTAAGTTGAGGGCTTCAGAGCATAAAAGTTCACGCAGTGACTTCAATCTACTCCTGGGCTCAGGGTTTGTAGGGTTTATTTATAGGGTTTATAGGGGTTATAGTAATTAGGGCTCTAGGGTTGTGGGGTTTAGGGTACGTAGACCCTCAAAAGGCTTTGCGGCATCGCAGGCCAGGCGCCCAATAGTGTGGCAACTGGTGCTTGCCAGCAGCACCCTACACAATTAGGGTGGAGTTGTTTTTCCTTCCTTTTTTTTTGCTTCCCTTTTTTTTTTTTTGGTTTTCTTGGCTTGTGCTAGGAAAACCACAATTCCCTCCGTATTTTCAAAGGATTCTTACTGCTCTTCCTCAGATTACGGGCTCATTTTGTCGTATTTTCTTGCTAATTTTCTTGTATTTCCAGAGAGAACAAACCATCATTCCCTCTGCATTTTCCTAGGAATCATACTACTTTTCAAAGAATTTCGGATTTATTTAATTGGAATTCTTCGCATTTTCTGGTTCATTTTGTTGGATTTCCATAGAGAAAACCAGCATTCCCTCTGTGTTTTCTCAGGATTCATACTACTTGTCATAGGATTTTGGATTCATTTTGTTTTCTGGCTCATGTTCATGGATTTCCATAGAGAAACCACCATTCCCTTTGCGTTTTCTGAAGATTCATACTACTTGTTCATAGGATTTCGGATTCATTTTGTTGGAATTCTTCCTATTGTCTGCTTCATTTTCTTGAGTTTCCATCAAGAAAACCACCATTTCATACTACTTACTTTGCGTAGGATCTCGGGTTCATTTTGTTAGATTTTTTCATATTTTCTGGCTCATTTGCTTGGGTTTCCATAGAGAAAACCACCATTCCCTCTTTGTTTTCTCAGGATTCATACGACTTTTCATAGGAATTAGGATTTCTTTTGTTGGATGCTTCGTATTTTCTGGCTCATGTCATACTGCTTTTCGGCTCCTCTCTAGTCGCTACTGCGATTCGTCATCTGCGTCTGAGCCCTAGCCCTAAACCCTAGACCTTGGACCCCGGACCTTGGACCGGCGGAGGTTTTTCATTTGCAAGCACAATGCTTGCATGATGGGTTTCAAAAAAAGTTTCATATGCTTTGAAGCAAGCTTGCACGGCTTAAAAAAAGCGGGGGGGTTGGGGGGGGCGCAGCCCCCCCCCATTTGCAAACACAATGCTTGCATGATGGGTTTCAAAAAAAGTTTATGCTTTGAAGCAAGCTTGCACGGCTTAAAAAAAGCGGGGGGGTTGGGGGCGGCGCAGACCCCCCCCCATTTGCAAACACAATGCGTGCATGATGGGTTTCAAAAAAAGTTTCATATGCTTTGAAGCAAGCTTGCACGGCTTAAAAAAAGCGGGGGGGTTGGGGGGGGCGCAGCCCCCCCCCATTTGCAAACACAATGCTTGCATGATGGGTTTCAAAAAAAGTTTATGCTTTGAAGCAAGCTTGCACGGCTTAAAAAAAGCGGGGGGGTTGGGGGCGGCGCAGCCCCCCCCATTTGCAAACACAATGCTTGCATGATGGGTTTCAAAAAAAGTTTCATATGCTTTGAAGCAAGCTTGCACGGCTTAAAAAAAGCGGGGGGGTTGGGGGGGGGGCGCAGCCCCCCCCATTTGCAAACACAATGCGTGCATGATGGGTTTCAAACTCGAACTCGAACTCGATTCCGCAGCGGTCTGGTCTGACCTACTAGCTAGCTGTAGTTCATGACATATGTCACGGCCGCTCTGCGGCGGCGGCTAACAGCTTCGGGTATGGACAGCAAGAGACGTCCCGCAGGAACCGGAGTTCAACTAGACTGCAGGCAAAACGGTCTCAAGCGCAACAGAGCCTACCTGGACCTACCGTGAACAGGAAAGAAACGCGTGCTCACAAGCTCAAAAGGACGGTGTATGTACAGGGGTTACTATTCTACGGCCGGTCTCACAGTTCGCTCACTCACAGGGCTAAACAGTGTGGGCACACTTGCGCCGCAGATGTCCTGGGGCCGATGAGGGAGCGGCACCCCCGTGCTGATGGAACAACGCATGACTGCATATGGTGGCATGGTTGAAAAAGGACTCGGTACACTAAAGAAGAAGAGCACAAAAACACTCAGGGAGAGTGTAGCTATCTCATTTTCTCATCGCTCAAGACTCCTTAGCAGGGCGACCCGGGCATGAGATGCCGGTATCATGGCACTGTGGCCGAAAGGTCGGCTTCACATGTGCCTTCCCTGTACATAGGAACAGAGACAAAGGTTCAGACAGGGTTGCTAGCCTGTCCCCCCGTGCACCCGAGAGGGGGGTGCACCCCCACTTTTGTGAGAAAAATAAGCTCTCATCGTCAGGCCGATCCGCCTTCCCCAGCAGGGGGCCTGCGGATACAGCCAAGCACATAACAGTTGGACTGGATTTCGGGGCTTAAGGTTTCAAGCCTTTCCGATGCGACACCGTCGTCCATGTACCAGGCATCTGTCCTGCCCGGTATCAAGCCAACGGTTCTGTAGTGCCCTGTGAGAACTGTTTCACCCAGATGCACAATGATGGAGATGAGGTCATAGGCAAGCCAATCACACGCTATGCTGCTTTCATTTCTGAAGATCGGAAGGTGGACACAGCGATTGTTGAATGTAATAGGCACACGGGTCTTCCTCGTGACACCATTGGTCGTGGTATATCTAGGTAGGACAAGGAAAATGTGAGTCGGAGCTGTGCATAACGCATGCGGTTGGGCCTGCAGGTGCCAGTTAAGGATGAGGGTGTCCAGCTCCCCGTCTTGGATACCTCCAGGTGCTGCCAGAAGTAGCAATGGTGCAGCGGGCTCCCTGATTTCAGTAGTGCACCCCTCCTCAACCGCAACTCTAGCCTCCCAGTGAACGAGACTATCAGTCCAAGCAAGCTTAGGGATGATGAACTGTATGAATTCACTCACGTCATGCTGTCTGTTGGGCTGCGCCCAGCCTAACATGTACATGCGGAGAAACATGGCTGCATCCCAGTGCGTTTTGGCAAGTGCCTTCTGCCAAGCATCAGGTATGCGGCTCCCCGGCCTGAGCTGTACTTGCCACAGGGCGGCAGTTATGACGGAGTTGATGTAGCAAGTGTTGCCGCTATTTTTAAGCTTGAGGCGAGAGACACTCGGCACACCAGCAGGTGGCCGTGCACTTCCTGCAGCGCTCAGATGTTTTCCAGGGCCTTTTGCAGTGCCATTGCCAGTCCGTGGCGTTGCTGGTTTGGCGGCTGCAGTTGCGCTCCCACCACATTCCACACCGCGCAGTTGGCCAACTGTCGCAGTTTCTGATGCAGGATGTTTGCTCTCGGATCTCGCATGGCTACTTCGATGAGGAACACTGCTTTGTCGCCTTCCTGGGGCTCTTGCTTGGGACGCCTTTGGGCGCAGAACCTGGTGACCAGATCCGGAAGACACAGCTCGGCGACCTGGTTGATGAGCTCCGTCGCCTCTTCCACCTTCAGGCTCTTGGCTGTCGCCGACGGCTCCACCTGTTTGGTGGCCGAGTTCCACTCCTGATACACGAAGCGCTTCTGCTGGTCGAGCCACTGATGCTTCATCGCATTCTCCACGGCCGTGGGATCTCCTACCATCAGTTGGACTCTTGCCACGACCTCTTTCAGCAGGAGGCCCAGCGCAACGATTCTCATCGGGGGGACGTTCTCTCCTTTCTTCTGTTTTTGTTGCCATTCCTGCCCCGCCTTGAAAAGCGGCAGCAATATGGTTCCTGGGCCTTGTTGCTGGAGGTGGAAAGTGAAGGATGTGTCCAGGCGTAGACGGTTCAGGGCGTCCTCCTGCTGCAACGACAGATTTGCCAGGAGCGTCACCACCGAGTTCAGGTTCTCGTCTGCAATTTGCCGCCGGCCTCCCCGCTGTCCTCGCCGGGCCGCTTTGGGTCGCTTGTTCGGTGCGTTCTCGGTCTCCCGGTCCATTTCTCTCGGCTGCTTCGAGGTCTCTCTCATGTTCGTCGCTAACCCTGGTAGTAGGTTGCCGAAGACGCTCACCACTTCCGTCGTCATGTTCACAGTGTAGTCCTATCAGGGCACATTGGAAGATCACATTGCATTGGAAGTAATGTCTGGAGGGGGAGGACCTGTCACACCACGGGCAGGTGCCATTTCTGAGGAGTCGGGGCTTGACCTGCGCACATCGCTCCTCAAGTTTGCCGTTGGCGGTGACTGCCCACACGTCCTTGTGGGCCCTAACTATGTGTCTCTTTAGAGCCGTGGGATCTGCGATCCATCGCTTGCAAACACAGCAGTGTTGCTTGAGGGACGACACAACATCGGCATCTAGCAGACTTTTCCAGCCTTGTTGCCGAGCAGCATCAAGAACCAGCTTTTGGGCTATGGGAGGCGGCTCATTTGCAGTGGCCTCCTCTGGAGCTTTTGGATTGGTGCTAGTATCTGCTTCGGGGCCGACCGCGGCTCCCTGAGTACTGCATTCCGGATAAAGAACAGGGCAGTATCCTTTTTCAATATGCGCTTTAAGCCCAATCCATGCCCCGTATTTGAATTTACAGAAGGCACACTGGGGCAGACCGTTCAGTGCATGGTTTGCCGGATCAAAATTGAGCAGCTCTGGCTTATCTTCTGGGTGCTTCCATGCCTTATGCTGTCGGAGGCTAGTGATAGTGCGAAATTGTTGACTGCAATGCGGACAGGTATAAGGGTCTGACTCCTTATCTTCAGGAAGCTGCTCACCTGCACTCATCGAATGGAGTGAGTTGATAGCCAGCGCGAGCTGCGCCCGGACCTGTGGAAGGGCCCTAATGTCGCTGGGGCACTCTGCTGCAATTTTCTCAAGCGCGTCATGCATTCTCTGGCCTTGGTGAGCGAGAGCATGCAGGGGGTCCTCAGCATTGAGATGCTTCTGGATCTGTTCATTGGACACTAGGGTAAGATGCGCCGGCTTTTTGGCAATAGCACGCATCTGTCTGGCAGCCATTGCTCGAAGATGCTTGCGTCCTGTGGGTCTAACACCCACCGCCAGTAGCCCGTGCGCTGCTGAGCTCCACACCCCGGCTCTCCAGATTTGGTACCTGGGGCGGTTGTGCGTTACGCGTCTGGAGTTGATGGCTTTGCGAAGCTGGCTATATTGACCCCTCGCCTTACGCATACGTAGCTGAACAGTTTTCTCCTGGGCATCTCTATAGGAAATGACGGTACCTAGGTACTGATGTGTTTTCCTGAGGGGGATCAGAATCTGCTCGCCGTGTTGCATGAAGGCAAGGTGTGGGAGTTTGTCCTTAAAGACCTTAAGTTTCTGCAAGATCCTAATTGCATCTGCTCCCTTGGCGTGACACAGCACGACCGATTTGGTTGCGCTGAGAGTCATACCGTGGTCGTTAAAGGTTTGCACGACTTTTTGGATGCCGCCAATGGCACCCTGAAGGTCTTCGGCGCTTTTTAACGTCCATGCAGCTAATGCGTCATCGGCGTAAAAAGTGAACAGCTGCGTTACCCAGTCCCAGCCTAGGCGCTCCGCTAGTGTGTCAATGATAGCAATTGTGTGTGCCACAAACAAATACGGCGCGACCGTACAGCCTTGTTTGATGCCTCGTGTGGTCGTGACGTGGTCCTCATGAACGCCGACTGAGCAGTGATACCTTGCCTCGAAATGGAACTGCATAAGGAGTTGCACCAGCGTTTCGGAGACCCCTAGGCGTCTCAGGCTAGTGGCAAGGGCAGTGCGAGGGACATTGTCGAACGCCCCCTCTAGGTCAAGGGAGAAGCATATGCCTCCTGCGCATTTAACCTGCGTAGCTCCGGCATGAAGGTCATATATGCTTTGTTTGCTCAGGGTCGCATACGCACGAGCCTCTCTCAGGTGGTTATGCACTCTCAGTAGGGCGTCTAGAACCCCTCTGCCGGCAGTATATGCAAATTGCGGTCGAGTGACCAGCGCTTCCTCGAGAAGTGGTCGGATGTGTTCTCTCAGCAGAGCGCATACCGATTTCGAGAGAGGGTGGGAGAGTCCTATTGGGCGAAGCCCGGACGGGCGGCTGGGGTCTTTCTGTGGTTTAGGCAACCATACGAGGTATGTGTCTTTCCACACGTGTGGGATGACGCAGAGGGAATCCTCCCCCCAGGATCGCATCAGGATGGGCTCCAGCGTTTTGGCTACCTGGTCACGGCACAATCTCCAAACTGCTGCCGGGGCCGACATCTTCGGCACCCCTTTGCGAAATGGTAGTTTTCCTAGGGCCCAAACGAGGTCTTTGGCCTGAACAAGAATGGGTTCAGTGACTCGGTGATTGGGCAAATAGTCTTCTCCCTGACAAAACTTGTTGCTGCTGTGCTTAATGAGCTCAGCCAGTTGTTCTTTGGGAGTGAGGATTTCTCCCTTTTCGCTGCGGATGTGTGTGCGCGCGAAGGGTTTCCAGGGAGCTAATTTTCTAGCGCTCATCCACACCTTCCGTTGATCGCCGATAGCGGCAGCAACTTGTAGGTCCTCAGCGACAGCCTGCAGCTTTTCGCGTTTGATTTTCTTGGCAGTTTGTTTCATCGCTTTAGAGGCCACGCGAAACTCGGTGTACTTTTTCCATTTCCGGAGAGTTTCGATTAAGCTGTTCGCTTTGGTGGATTTCCATTCCTTGTACTTAGCCCACATCTCTTTCGCGGTGTGCTTAAACTGCGGATTCTGCGAAACGCGGTTGTCAACTTCAGGTTCGGGAGGGTAGACGGTTTGCAAGTGTTCTTTCATGATCTCATCCACCTGCCGCGTAAAGCTGTGAAGATGCAAGTCAGGGTCCAGCTTTTGAATATCCGCGTCGATGAGGTGTTTTAACTTTTAACTTCTTAGCCCGATCATCTGCCTGCGCAATGGAATCTTGGATGCATTGCCTAGACGCCATCGAAGGTTTGACAGGGTTCGGGAGCCGACATGGTGCGACTCTACGGATGTGAGCCTGCACTGGGATGTGGTGATTGGCCTTCCACTTTCCGAGGGCGACTTGATGCATGGGTCTGCTGTGTCTAGCAGTGCGAGTCGCGTGCTGAACCCTACACGCAACGAAATCCAATTGCGTTTTGGTGCCTTGGTGCACGCACGTATGCGCCGGAGTGCAGTTCCACGTATTGAGGAGAGTGAGGCCGAAGTCCTGGAGTATTCCCAGAAAGTCATCTTCGTCAGGCGATCCCTCTACTTTGGCAACAACGGCGCTACCTATCAATCCCCTCGAGGTTTTGATGGAGCAATTGAAGTCTCCCGCAATAATCAAGTCGTTCCGTTGTGGACTCTTCATGATGCTAGACCGTATCGCATCCCAGATTGAGGCCCGAGCTTTCAGGTTCTCGGCTTTGTCAATGTTTGTCCTCCACACATGCTGGTAGACATTCAGAAGATCCGAGCCGTTCTGCGGGTGATGCAGTCGAACCGAGAGTACTCTGCCTTGCCTAAGAACCCTGTAGCTAACATTATCTTGCTTGCAGACATTTTGATGGATCAGAGTGGCAACTCCTGAGCATTTGTCTTTGCCTGTAGCCCCTGAGGAGACGACGAACCAGGGGCCGGACGAGAAAGTGCGGCACCCCTCCTGTTTCCAGTGTGTTTCCTGCACGAACACGATGTCAAAGTCATCTGGTTTCTCACTTAACCATGACATGAGTTCTTGCCAGGCCGCCTGCGAGCCCCCGCTCATGTTCCAGGTGAGACATCTAAGGTGAGATGCTTTGTCAGATTTGGGATGCTTTGTGGGTTTAGCCGGCCGATCATTCGGCCCCAGCTGGTGTATGCCCCCTGTGGTTTTTGTCAGTGTTTCTCTAGTGTACCATGTGCCCTTATAGTGAGTGCCGCCTGTGGCATAGGCTCGTGCGCGAGCTCGTCGCAGCGATCTCTTGGCAATCCACCCGATGCTGTTATGGTGATTACGTGTTGCCTGGCCAGTGTCTTCGCCCATTCTATTGGACTGTTGGGGCCGATGTTGTGTGGCTCCCACCACGGTACTGGAACCCGTGGTAACCCTCACGTCTGCTCGACCCCCATTTGCTGTCACGAAGCTTCCACAAAGGATAAGAATCCACATCCAGAAAAGACTTCGAAAGCTTGGGGCCCAGCCGCTGGACTTGGGACCAGCGCGGCTCGGTGATGTGCGTCTGGCGGGCTCACCCATCTGTGTTGTAAATAGGTTAGTAGTGCACTTGGCATGTGTGCTGAGGATGTAGGGTCTCCTTCTGTAGCAACCTCTGATTCTCCTGGTGCAGAGCCATTTAGTTAGTCTATCTCTTTGCAGCGATAGAAGCCTGCCTGCATAACCTTTCCCACCGACCAAAAACACTCCCAGCAGAAGAATGTGTCCCCATCTCAACCTGGCGTACTGACTCTCGGGACCTGGGACATCTCGTCGATCATAGTCCTGCAGCAGAGGCGAGGGTTTGGTGCGTATGCATTGGGTAGAGGAAACGGTGCAGCGGATGCGATGATGCAATGCAACCCCCGTGTATGCTCGCTGAGCTGCAGTGCGGTCTTGGTCACGGTCACTGGGGGCCGAAGATCGGCTTCCCCTGGAGGACCGGAAAGAGTGAGACCGAACAATGGCCTGCATGACGACATCAGCAGCCGGTGGCCCCTCTGAGCCAAAAACTTCTTCTCCCGATGCCAGGATCCTGACGGCCTTTATACAATGCGGGGCCAGCTTGCCATCGGCACCCCGGGTTAAGTAGTAGCCGTTCATTGAACGGAACCAAAGGGCCCCCGATTCTTTCGGGGAGAGAATGATTGCGATGTCACAATGCGCGGGGTAATTCCGATATTCACTTCTGTCTACGGAAACGCAATGAATGTGTGTCCGGGACTGGGAGAGGCCTCCCGTGATGATGCCCTTCGCCAAGATCGAGCCATAGAAGTCCCAGTTGGTTGCATGGAGGACGTACTCCGGCAACTCGGCATCCCCAAGGGGCCGCATGACCGCTTCATCACGTAGTCCTTTCTTGGAGTGACCTTGAACCGCCCTGATGTAGAGATCGGCACCGCGCCATTCGAGCGCGAAGCGTTGCTTGTCGTTCCAGTAGACCACCGAGCGGATGTAGTTGGGGGTTGCCCCCTTCTCCTTCATGATGGAGGTGCGTAAAAGGTCTGACACCTTGGTCCACCCGGCCTCGTCGAACGTCAAGCCGAAGTCTTCAGAGTCGTGCCTCAGAACAACTGACAGTCTTTTGGAGAGAGACTGGTCCAGTTTCCAGTAGAGCTTCGTCGGCTCCCCAAAGGGGGCCGAATCGCGTGCTGGCGTGGGCAGAGAGGTGCCATCGCTGCTGGCGTAGGTCGTCTCCGTGTAGATGTTGTATCTCTCGACCCTGCGCGGGGAGTGGGGGATGCTGCCAGATTGATTTGGTGGCGTTTGCCCCGTAGGGTAGTCAACCTCCATTTCCACATAGGCATCAGATGAAGTCAGCTCGGCAGTCCGGGTTGCAGGAGCCGTGTATCCCATGTGCTTGGAGGTCCTGTCCGGCATGTCATCATCTCTACTGTCCTGGCTGGTTTGGTCCTGAATTGCCACTCGGACAATTTGCTCATCATCCTGCAGTTGCTCGGTGGGGAAGTAGTAGTCGAATTTGATTGCCAGGTCTTGATGACTATCGAACCAATGGATTTGTTCAGCGACATGGGGACTCCCTCAAACAGTGCGATTACGCTGTGCAGCATGCCGGCGAACTGGGTGAGGATGGGCTCGAAGTCCGCATCTTTGGACAGGCTCCATAACCAGCATTCCACTGCCGTGCCGAAGGTGGAGTGGTTCGCGTAGTTGAGCTTGTCTCTGGAAATCAGGCACATGACAAACGCAAGGTTCCAGTTGCCTGCGGCCGGGATGATCTTCAGGGACTCCGAGTGGTGGAAGTCTTCATGATGCTTGACGAAGTGCCCCATTTCGAAGAAATTTTTGAACATGAGGGCGACCTTCTTCTTGCGCAGGACATTGATGTCATCTTCGATGATGTCCAGCAGGTTCCATTTTTCACGCATGGCTCTCAAGGATTGTGGAGGCACACTGTCTCGGGCAGGGGGGACGAACTGCTTGAGGCCCTCGGAGACATGCTGGGCAGGGGCCGGAGGAACGGCTCCCTCTGTGGTAGGCCTCCTTTGCTCGCTCGAGCTGCTAGCCTGCTGCCTCTTCTTTGGCGATGCCGGTGGGTCAGGTGGTTTCTGCCGGAACCACCATTCTCCCTGCCACCAGATCTTGAGGTAGCCCTCGTCGTCTTCCGTCGCATGTACTTCGTGCCGGTCACTGGTGTCAAACTGGTAGTCTTCAACGTCTTCGTCCTCCTCGTCGTAGTACCAGTCCTGATGTTGATCCCGGGGCCGAGCGTCGGCTCCCCTCGCATTCTGCCAGTGTGGCTGTCGGCTCTCGCGATCGGCCGCTTGTCGCCAGGGCTGCTGATTCATCTCCTGAGCACGGCCCCTAGTGTCGGCTCTCTCCCTTTGATTGCCAGGGGCATTGCGGCGAGCACTGCGGGCAGCCAGTTCATTGCGGGCGCGCCTCCTAGTGCCGTCGGGCCTGACCCGAGCTCGGGGATATCGATGCCACTTTTGATCTGACATGCTATCGGCAAAGACAACACACATGTATATACTTATGCAATCAGGCGTGGCGTGCATCATGTTCCTGCGGCCCGACAACCACTCTACAACACGGATCTCCATTCTCGCACTTAGAAACCCCGAGGTCCTCCCACAGGTGCTTTGTGTAGGGCCGAATACGGCACCCGCAGCTCTTCGGCTTGAAGTGACCTGGGCATATAGTCCGGGTTTGGGGCAGGTATGACATCTGCGAGTGTCAGGCAATGGGAGTACAGTCGGGTGCAGGGCCATGCATCCTGCTACACCGAGTTTTCCACTTCGGGTACACTGCACCTGGGATGCGAGCATGTTAAGGATTTGACTGGGTATCAGGGCTGGCGTTCTGTGCCGAACATAGCTAACTACGACAGGGCACATATTCCACATATGTCTACGGTGAGGCCCTCGAAGAGCTAAGGAAGGCCTTCGGTAGATGCCTCTAACAAGCATCAGTTTCGGCCTGCATGGTCTCACACTTAGCGAGAAGTTCTGCAGCCTTCTTTCGCCTCTTCCTAGGAGGTAAGCTTCGAATGTCTCCGAGAAGTCTGGTGATAAGGCCCGCACATGAACCTGTGGAAATTGCGTAAGCCACAGCATTGCTCGATACGCCCACCTTGCGACCCTTAGGTTGTGGTGGCGGCTCTGAGTCCGTCGAGAGTGAGTCATCGGTGCCCGGTCCTTGTGCAGGGCTGGAGGATTGACCTGGGCCATCGGCTTCCCCAGGGCTGGGGCCGAATGTGGGACTGTCGGTCCTGTCCTCTGGGAGCATGTTTGTCTCATGTGCGGAGCTCTCTGATTCGCTCCAGTCCAGGAGCCCTTGCGCACTCCTCGGCACTCCATGGATTCTGTCACTTGAGGAGGAACTAGCGAGCGGTGGTGATGAGAGCTGCAATGGGGGGGGCAAAGATGGAAGCTTCGGTTGATTTGGGGGGGGGGTTGGGGCTTGGGGTCCTCTCTTATTTCGTGCGCTGGCTTTGGAGCTGGCTCCCCTAGGGGCCGTTGACTGCACGTAGTGGGATCTGGCCGACCAGTGCGCCTCATGGCACTGTCGTAGGCGGGGATGCATCTGCGGCAAAGGAAGACTGTGAATATCAAGTGCAGAGCGAGATTCATGGTTTGACTGAGATCAGGCTGATAAGAGACGTTGCAAGTTGTTGCTCAAGTGCAGCACACAACAACGGGAACCTGACAGAAATGATGGCCACCAGCTGAAGTCCCTGTTCTCTCGGTAGAACCTCAAGGATCGCTGGCACAAGTTCGTCTGCAGTATCCTGATTCAACAGCTGCCCTGCGAGGTCCAAGGCACTTTCAATGTCAATAGTGTCTTGACAGCTCAGCAAGCAGTCTGCAACCAGTTCCAGAGCCACAACTCGAATCTGAGTAACAGGCAGAATGGCTTCTAATGGTGTGAAGAGTACAGAAATCACCGAAGGGGCACTACGGTCCGCTATTGGGGGCCCGCTATACGAAACGCTGAGAGCCGAGACGCTTGATGGGTTTCAAAAAAAAGTTTCATATGCTTTGAAGCAAGCTTGCACGGCTTAAAAAAAGCGGGGGGGTTGGGGGGGGCGCAGCCCCCCCCCATTTGCAAACACAATGCTTGCATGATGGGTTTCAAAAAAAGTTTCATATGCTTTGAAGCAAGCTTGCACGGCTTAAAAAAAGCGGGGGGGTTGGGGGGGCGCAGCCCCCCCCCATTTGCAAACACAATGCTTGCATGATGGGTTTCAAAAAAGTTTCAGATGCTTTGCAGCAAGCTTGCACGGCTTAAAAAAAGCGGGGGGGTTGGGGGGGGCGCAGCCCCCCCCATTTGCAAACACAATGCTTGCATGATGGGTTTCAATAAAAGTTTCATATGCTTTGAAGCAAGCTTGCACGGCTTAAAAAAAGCGAGGGGTTGGGGGGGGCGCAGCCCCCCCCCCCATTTGCAAACACAATGCCTGCATGATGGGTTTCAAAAAAAAGTTTCATATGCTTTGAAGCAAGCTTGCACGGCTTAAATAAAGCGGGGGGGTTGGGGGGGGCGCAGCCCCCCCCATTTGCAAACACAATGCCTGCATGATGGGTTTCAAAAAGAAGTTTCATATGCTTTGAAGCAAGCTTGCACGGCTTAAAAAAGCAGGGGGGTTGGGGGGGGCGCAGCCCCCCCCATTTGCAAACACAATGCGTGCATGATGGGTTTTAAAAAAAGTTTCATATGCTTTGAAGCAAGCTTTGCACGGCTAAAAACAAGCGGGGGGGTTGGGTGGGGCGCAGCCCCCCCCCCATTTGCAAACACAACGCTTGCATGATCGGTTTCAAAAAAAAAGTTTCATATGCTTTGAAGCAAGCTTGCGCGGCTTAAAAAAAGCGGGGGGGTTGGGGGGGGCGCAGCCCCCCCCATTTGCAAACACAATGCCTGCATGATGGGTTTCAAACAAAGTTTCATATGCTTTGAAGCAAGCTTGCACGGCTAAAAAAAAGCGGGGGGGTTGGGGGGGGCGCAGCTCCCCCCATTTGCAAACACAATGCTTGCATGATGGGTTTCAAAAAAAAATTCATATGCTTTGAAGCAAGCTTTGCACGGCTTAAAAAAAGCGGGGGGGTTGGGGGGGGGGCGCAGCCCCCCCCATTTGCAAACACACAATGCCTGCATGATGGGTTTCAAAAGAAAAGTTTCATATGCTTTGAAGCAAGCTTGCACGGCTTAAAAAAAGCGGGGGGGTTGGGGGGGGCGCAGCCCCCCACCCATTTGCAAACACACAATGCCTGCATGATGGGTTTCAAAAAAAAGTTTCATATGCTTTGAAGCAAGCTTGCACGGCCTAAAAAAAGCGGGGGGGTTGGAGGTGGTGCAGCCCCCCCCCCATTTGCAAACACAATGCTTGCATGATGGGTTTCAAAAAAAGTTTCATATGCTTTGAAGCAAGCTTGCACGGCTTAAAAAAAACGGGGGGGTTGGGGGGGGCGCAGCCCCCCCCCCCCTTTTGCAAACGCAAGCTTGCATGAGGGGTGTTCCAAAGATTTCAGATGATTTGAAGCAAGGTTTGCAACGGCTTTAGAAAAAAAGGCGGGGGGGTTGGGGGGGTGGGGGGGGGCGCAGCCCCCCCATTTGCAAACACAATGCTTGCATGATGGGTTTCAAAAAAAAGTTTCATATGCTTTGCAGCAAGCTTGCACGGCTTAAAAAAAGCGGGGGGGGTTGGTGGGGGCGCAGCCCCCCCCCATTTGCAAACACAATGCCTGCATGATGGGTTTCAAAAAAAGTTTCCTATGCTTTGAAGCAGGCTTGCACGGCTTAACAAAAGCGGGGGGGTTGGGGGGGGGCGCAGCCCCCCCCATTTGCAAACACAATGCCTGCATGATGGGTTTCAAAAAAAGTTTTCATATGCTTTGAAGCAAGCTTTGCACGGCTTAAAAAAAGCGGGGGGGTTGGGGGGGCGCAGCCCCCCCCATTTGCAAACACAATGCCTGCATGATGGGTTTCAAACAAAGTTTCATATGCTTTGAAGCAAGCTAGCACGGCTAAAAAAAGCGGGGGGGTTGGGGGGGCGCGAGCCCCCTCCATTTGCAAACACAATGCTTGAGGATGGGTTTAAAAAAAAGTTTCATATGCTTGAGCAAGCTTGCACGGCTTTAAGAACGCGGGGGGGTTGGGGGGGCGCTGAGCCCCCCCCCCATTTGCAAACACACAATGCCTGCATGATGGGTTGCAAAAAAAAGTTTCATATGCTTTGAAGCAAGCTTGCACGGCTTAAAAAAAGCGGGGGGGTTGGGGGGGGCGCAGCCCCCCCCATTTGCAAACACACAGTGCCTGCATGATGGGTTTCAAAAAAAAGTTTCATATGCTTTGAAGCAAGCTTGCACGGCTTAAAAAAAGCGGGGGGGTTGGAGGTGGTGCAGCCCCCCCCCCCCATTTGCAAACACAATGCTTGCATGATGGGTTTCAAAAAAAAGTTTCATATGCTTTGAAGCAAGCTTGCACGGCTTAAAAAAAACGGGGGGGTTGGGGGGGGCGCAGCCCCCCCCCCCATTTGCAAACGCAATGCTTGCATGATGGGTTTCAAAAAGATTCAGATGATTTGAAGCAAGTTTGCACGGCTTAGAAAAGCGGGGGGGTTGGGGGGGGGGGGGGGGGC